TTATCATTTGCCAAAAATAATGTATGATTTAATGAAAAATGAATGAATGAATTTTTATCAAAATATCAAAATGTGCTGTATATTGGAGAATATTGTGATTGATTTTTTGGAACTTTGCTAGTATGTTAGAAGAAATATTTTTTTTATCGAAAGATGCAGCTTTTCGCGCTCTATAAGAATAAGTAAACAAAGCTCTAGGCAATTATAAACTAACTGTACTACAAATACAAAATATAGAAACAATCAGCATGTCAAAGATACCAAAAATTGGTCGATTCCATGTCTTTTGTCGAGAATTTCTTTTCTTTCATTCGGAAAATAATTTATTTTAAATACATAGTTTTGTAGAGCATCTTCTGCTCTATCTATTGGTATAACTTAATAAAGAATTCGATAAGATTTTTGTAATCGAAAATTTTACAAATGAATACGAAGCAAACCCCGTGAGCTTAGAGAAAGTAATGTAGGGTATCGAAAAAGTGAGGTCGGCAAAATATGAGAAGACATCATTCAAAATTCGTAAAAATTTGGTTTTCTGTGTAACTTTTAATGCTCTTTCAAACTAGCTGTCTAATTTGAAAAAGTAAAGTTTTTTTGGCAAATTATCCCTATCATTTTGGGTGGTAATCTCATGGACGTTCTCTCAAGTCGTCCCTCTGAAAAAGTGATCGGGGTATGTCAGAAATTAGCACCACTAAGTGCATAAGTATACTCGCCATTTGATATTGATAGGTTTTTTTCTCGATTTGTCGGTAGACGAATAGGCAAATAATCGACATAAAAAGCTGAGTTGCCTGGTTGAATACAATGATTGGTTGACAAGTAATGATAGTGACATCTACAAAAATTCATCCATCGTTATTATAAATTTAGAATGCAGTTACAATTTTACTTATATAGTACATAAATTGTTATGATTTTCACTGAAATCATTAGAACAATGCATTAAATTTCACTAAGAGAAGGGTCGTTTCGTGGCTACATGTACTTCCGACATGGTCTCAATTTTATACTTAATATGGTATTCAAGCAAATGAAATTGTATGAAAAACTGATCAAAATGGAAAGAATTCCAGAAAAGTAAATTGAAGGATTTGTTTAAGAGAACTGACCTTAGTAGAACGAAACATCAGAGTGAAAACACATTTTTGTGAAATATTCCCACAATTAATATCTTAGTCGTGATAAAATCTTGTAACTGATAACATTAAGACTTTTGAATCATCCTTCATAGTCGAAAACATAGAGAAATCAAACATAATTCGTGTAGTTTTTTCGATTTCGTTTCTAACAGTGATGCGTCGTCTTCTTTCAGGCAACGCATGCAAAAATAAACAGGATGGAAAATTGGTCCCGCCCTATCACTCCATTTCGTGCACGACCAAGCGAATCAACGAGTAACAAAATTGTATCAAACATCAATTTGGATAGTGTGCCTGCAATCGAGACGGTAAGTCGTTTGCACATCCTCATCTAACATTATATTTATTCAGTTATATTTTTAATAGATAGCTACTGCTCGTTTAGCAAAAAAACAAGAGCTGAAAAACACAAATAAAGCGGATGGTATTAATGTGAGTATTCTGCTAGTAGAATTTTACAATGTGGTCATTTGTTTCGTGTAACATAGAATACCGACTGGATTTTTGAAAACTCATCTTCCAAAACAGACTACCTTAATGATGAAGACAGAGAAGATACAACAACAAACACCTCCGAAATATCAATGAATGCNTTCTTATGTGATTATAAGTATATACACGGACAAAAATTTTATGAAACTGTTTCTTGTCCAAGAAGTAATGACTTTGATCGACAAATATTGTTTCGCCAATAAATATTAATATGGATTATTTTATACATTTAGTTAGCCATTGAATGAAGTCTTTTCCATGTCTATTAAAAAATAAATTTATATTCATTATTAGCAACGTCAAAGCTTTTAAACAACTAGTGAGATGATTGCTCTTTTTTACTTTCATGCGTCGAAAATATGCTTGTTTGTTTTATAGGCTGAATTATTTAATAGAAATAGATCAATCCTATACTGTAGCGCGTCTCTATTTGCTAATAAACACTTTCTCTTTAATAGAAAGAAGTTTTATTTTTGTTCTTTATGTTTTTTATTTTTAAAATATACTTCATTCTCATCTTAAGCAAGCACTAGAAGTTTTGTTTTTAACCTGTTCGTTAATAAAAAAAAACGAAACTACGCACGTGCACATTAGAAAAACAATACTGAATACTCACATAAAAAAAATAAACTATTACCATTCAGTAAAGAAAAGAAAGGCAAAAATCAACACGAACTTCTTTATCGACAATGTCTTATTTAAGAATCATACGACTTAAGATTTTCATTCATAAAAAATATCATTTGTTGCATTTAGTTCCGAATGAAAATATGAGTTAGAAACAATTATAATCCAAAAAATATCTATTTTTAATTTTTGAAAGAACTCTTACATCTATTCAGTGTGTTTATTCGTCATATTTCAGTAAAAATTTAAGATTTATGAAAAATAATTTGCTACTTAATTTCTCATGCCAATAGAAATAATAGCAATGGCTACCAATTAAGCGGTTGATAGAATAAATGAAATGCTAACTAAATGAAAAAATTCGAAAAATCATTAAATTTATTGAGTGGTCAGTAAAGTAATAATTGATCAATAAACAAATGAAATGACCAATTACAGTACGGTGCATAATAATAAGACCACTGGTTTTTGAGCTTAAGATAATCAGACAAAGTTTAGTCTTTAAAATTAGAGGTATTATCGTAACACTATCTAATTGGTAAATTTCCGGGGATTTATTGCTTCTTTTTCGTTAGTTTTGAAATTTTCATAAATTTTAATGGTGCATATATATAAGAACACATTAAAAGAAAAATAAAAGATGAAACAAAAAGGACGACCAGTATTTTTTCTTCGTTCCATTTAGCTTAATAACTTCAAATATCCTTTTCTGGCATTGATTTGACCAGAGTCCGAACCTGATCGAATGCTCATACCGTCCCATTTCATTATGGCAGCTTGTAACTGCTCTTTTGTTCTGAGTTGTTTTCCTTCGGCATAGATCTTCCTTGCTGGTATTCCCCAGAAGTTTTCAATAGGATTTAAATAAGATGATAATGATGGCCAGGATAAAACATTGATATTTTTGCCACTTGAACCAAGTGAGACTGGCCTTAGACCGATGGACAGGCGCATTATCTTGTCGAAAAATTTAATCAGTCCCACCAATACTATTACCAATATCAACTAAATGAGTTTTTAGCACCTCTCGAATTCCATTCAAATTCATCCGTCTGTCTACGAAACTTATTGAACTTTTACCACCACAAACAAAGATTCCCAAATGATTACACTTCCATCACTTCGAGTAGGAGTTGAGAAAATGTCTTCCTCTTTGCGAACATCATGCTACTCATAAGAAAAACCATCACAGCCATCTAAATTGAAATTTTTTTCATCAGACCATATGATCTTTTTCCCCTCTTTATACCAGGTCATATGTTCTTTCGTCCACTTTAATCTTAAATCTCTGTGCGACTTTGTTAAATGTGGAGACTGTTTCTTTTTCCTTTTTTTAAGATGCTTGACCTTTTTACAACTTGATTGATTGTCCATCTGGACTGTTTTAGACTTAAATCTTGAATAATTTTTGCAGAAGACATTGATTTGTTGCTAGCAGTTCTCAAAATAAGTCGTTTCGTGCACTTGCCAACTTTTCGTCTACGACCAGTTCGTTTCCTGTAGTCGTATTTGAGCGGGAGTTTCAGAAAATTCGTTACTACAGTTATGAATCGATTGATTTTCCTTGCGATTTCTCGATAAGAATAGTTTTTCTTGTGCAAGTCAAGAATGCATCTTTTCTCACCTTCGGTAAATTGTACTACTTTGGGCATTTCTTTATTTACATATAAATGTTGATTTAATACGTTCGTTTACACAAAAAGTCGCTTAAAATAAAAATATTGTGGGAAACATCCCACGTGGTCTTATATTTATGCACCAAAGAAATTCGCATAATTCTATATATACATGAAAGTCAACAAATATGTGCGTGAAAATTTTATACATATGTCCTTGTCCTTCACTTGTACTAACTGACTAAGTATCACATTCGTTTGATTTATCTTATTAGTAAAACAAGCGGTCTTATAATCATGCACCGCACTGTATATTAATGAAACTGATTCGTAATTAAATTAAATGGTCAGTGGATAAAATTTATTCGCAGCAAATAAAATTAAGAAGGAACTGTAGAAATTGAAATGTGTCATAAGTTAGTATCATTCATCTCAATTTTTTTCTTCTTTTTTTTACTATGTCAGCAGAAAATACGTATGACACGTTATCTGCTTTCGTTCTGCAGCTTTGATATCTGTCTAGAAGTACGCTTGTTCCTTTTCTATTTGGAATTTTCCTCGTTTAATTCAGCGCTCAAATTTTCCCTTTGTTGGTTTTTTTTATAACATGATCGGATATTACCACACCCAAATGCTATGTCATAACTATATAAAGTTGCGAGTTTTTGTAATAAACCATCATCATGCAGAAAATAAAATAATAGACTAACCAATGAAAACAATAAAAGTCGCTCAATATGACAGCGATACATCATCGAATGAAGAAATTATTGAAAAACATCTTGCAAAACTGAAAATAAAGGAGTTGGGTGCGCATGTTGTTATCAATCAAACGACTCATCCAGACCCATTACAGACGCACATCCATGAATTTCTTACCTAATGTCTCACCAAGTTTCTGGTTATTCTTTTTTGTGGGACTTTCTATAGATGTCTATTTCTTGAACCAAAATCTACTTTATACTGACGAAAGACATTTTTCTTCTGATCAAAGGAATATTTTTTACTCACCGAATTTCTCTTGTTTTCCTATCATTAGCTATATTTTTCTATTGCCACTTCATAATTATTAACTGATATCTTTAAAACTGGCCAAGCAATATATATATTGATCCATTTAATATTTTTGTTAACTGATCGTTTCATTTATTTTACCGATCAAATATTATATTCTCAATAACAATCAATCAAATAACTAATCGTCGTAATCAGACTCCTTACTATTAGTAATACATAATTGAGTTATATCCACGTGCTCACAATTTAAGAAAACATAGTTGATGGAAATGGAGAAAAGAAACAAAAAAAAGCAAATACGTATGTACATGCAATTCTATAGTAACTGATTAGGAAAGCTTAATAGCACGGCTTATTTACACAAGTGAAGTATGAAAACCACATATTTCTGAAAAGGAAAAATACCCAAGTGAAGCACATACGAGGTTAAACGGTCAGATACCCTATTTTCGAACCGTACTACGACCGTTATTAGCCGTTTACGACATGATGAAATACAGTCGTAATGCTGCGTGCATACCAAAAAGGCAATTGACGGCGATTTACGATCGAAAACAGTATAAAACAGTAGTATATGTTATCAAATACGGCTGTAAATGGTCGTATCTCATCGTCGTAATGTTCGTTCTGGGTAAAACCTTAAGCAGTGAGATCTTGATAGATTGGGACAAGTGCGAGTTGGTACATGTCAAGTTCAAAGTTGCACTTGTTTATTTTGAATATATATTAGAATTTTCGAAAAAATAGGTCCATCAAATAAGATTATTATAGGAAGATTCTAAAAAATGTTGAATATCTTAGATAAATTTCCTCTCAGTACTGACTTTCGAGAAAAAAAGGAAACATATTTATGTAAACTTGGGTGAACAGATTTCTTTTTCTATCTCCGACGCTAGATTACTAGCAAGATAGTCTTGTTACATAGTTTTATACTCAAAAATGACATCAAACTTCTATGCCAGTTTTGTGTCTCCTTCAACCGAAGAATGACGAACTTGTTGAAGACGAATAAAATATGGACCACTCCTCATTGTGGACTGTGAACTAGGCAACTGCGGGACCAAGTTTTTTTGTTCCCGGTGCCGCTTTTTTATAGCACAAATTAAGAAAATTTTTAGGAAACCAACGACTGTGTCGCACTCGCACATAAGTGTTCACCGTATCATGCATATATTTTGGATTCTGCTGTTATAAATCGTCGAAACAGTCTATTATATCTATCTATGTGTGTATATTATCAACTTGTTTGTTTTAATAGATACTTGACAACATCAGTATTTGATTCTTTTACGAAATAATAAAATAATTGTTGATCATCAATCAACATGAAAAGACGATTAAATCCTGTTTTTCATTCAAAAAACCTTTTCAGGGATAAGTGAAACAATAGTGTTATTTCCGGTCCCAGCATTGGTCTCGCGGGACCAATTCCGAGACTAGTTTGCAGCTTCCCACTGTGAACACTTTTTTGGTTTCTTCTGGAGCAAAAGAATTCTTTATAGTGAACACTTTTGCAAGTTCATTAGAGTTTTTTTCATACAGTTAAAACTGAATGTGTATGTGCATATTGATTTTATCAGCATGACGAGTAAAAGGATCTCTACAGCGTGGAATGTTTAAAAAATACGAAAGAAAATAGAATAAATTACGANCTAAGGAATTCGATCGATTTCACACGAAGTTTGAACAATGCTCAAAAACCCCTTTTTGCTAGCTCTGAGTAAGAGAAATATGTATAGTAAAAGTTTTGACAACTAACTTATAATAAAATATTAATTTTAGAAACTTAAAATATTCAACGGCAGAAGGAACTCGATTGCCAACTCAATTTTATAAAGTTTTGAAGAATAAAGAATGCACGAAGATGTTTCGAAAACATGAATTTGACCAAAATCTTAAATATGCATTAGTAGAACAATTTGCTATAAATATTCAAATAATGGAAGGTAGTAATGATTCCAATGATGAGAACGTAGCCTATACTATTATAATCTCCGGTTCTCAAATGTTGCAAGTAACACGAGCTTACGATGCACTCGAAATGTTGCTCACATCGTGCTTTCAAAAGAAAATCTTCAGCAAAGATATAGGTACCATCCGTTTGAAATATTTGTATTTTTGATATTTTTTCATAAATATTTGCTAGGCTTTTGGGTTTGTAAACCGCAAGCTATTCATATTATTCAAACCTATGCCGATCAGGAGAACATTATATGTTACTGTGAAACATCTGAAAGTACTGGACTGATCATTTATTATTTCAATGCACTGATGACTTCTCTAACGTCTTTGTGCACTACAGAAACAGTTATTACCGATATGATTTATAAAAAGTGTATGTTAGCGACTATAATGGTCTCGAAAGACTTTGATGATATACAAACCAATACGTACTTGCAGAAACTCGAAGAATTCGCTGCGCAACCTTTTTATCAAGATGCTATAGTATTAATCAGACAAACAGACCATGTATTAGTTTTTGGTTTAGCCAATGTGGTGAAAGATGTCACGAATGAATATAAGAAAATAAAACAAATGTATTGTGTAGTTCAAGAAAAACATAACTTGAAACATTTCCAAGTATGTCTTAATAATGAAACGAAATCCTTCAAACGAGCTCAGGTTAAATAAGGATATAATATAACAGAACATTTATTATTGAGAAGGGTTCATCACTGTCCACAATTATCAATTTTAAAGTGCAGTTTTAATAGGTGGTCCAAGTATTATATGATGAGTAACAACAAGTAGAGTGTTGTGCATCTGAATCTATGAAACATTGATCGATAGCTCTCTGGTTTCAAGACCTTGAGAATTCATCAATAAAAAACAATGATCTATATTATATGTGCTTGTACCACTTTTCTCACTTTTATGTGCTTCCAATCTAAACTCTTACACATGGATAAACAAAACAGATATATAGGTTTAACATTCTAAAATAATCATTAGTGATTAGGTAAAGGGTTAGTGTTTCCTGGTATTGGTCTATTCAGAAGACGAATGATTTTCATGTTTTCTTATAAGACAAGAAAAGAAATGATAATGAAAATTCCATTTAAATTCATTCTTTCTCATGTATAAAACAGTGTGTCAATTACCAATGCAGTGGATAATTGATAATTTCTTGCTTGTTAATTTAACTAAGTTTTGATGGGTATTTTCTTTTGTTTCCTTTAAATTTTAAATAGAAATGCCCCTTCAAAATCTTTTCGGATTCTTTAGGTAATTTTGACTGTTGCATCTGGTAACCATGATGCGTAACATAAAAGATAAGAAGCAAGAACAAAGCGCGGGATATCACAAATATCAAGCCTAATAAGAATGAGAGTAGTGAGGAAAGAGAAGAGTCTATTTGAAGATTCCACTGAAAATTCAGAGAACGAAACGAGAAGAAGAAATACGGTATTGAATTTGAATTTGAAGATGGTTTTCTTGATAATGTCATAAAACTAAAAAATCCATATGCAGTCAAGCAAATTTTAAATCATACTCGGGTTCCTTTTTTTGTTTTCATTTTGGCTTGTGAATAAATCGAATGATAGTTTTGTTCGATACACATATTGATAGAGTGTGACGACGACCTAGGAAAAATGTTTAGATCAGTGGACATACTTCGTTTGTATACTAAAAATGATGGGCGGAATGGGAAAAAATCTTTTGATCTTACAAAGTATTGATAACGTCGAAAAACAACGACATCAAGTACTTTTAATATAATATCCAACACTGTAAAATCTTAAGTCTGACGCAGGTGTTTTTAAGTTGGTTTTTGAGATCTTCATTGATAATATTTATTTTTCACACACAAATTTGGAAATTAAGATGATAATGATAGATATGCATATATATGTTCACCTGTTATTCCAAAACTGAATGGTAAATGAATAGACAAAATATATAAGAACACAAGTATATATATACATATATGTATATACAATACAAACAATTTCATTTTACTGTAGAATATTGCGTGTAATTAGTAGTATAAAAAATTCAGCTTCATTGACAGTTAAGTTTTTGGTGTCAGCTGAAGTTATCAACCTGAGGAAATATAATGTACGTAGTACAGCCATTCACATTGATTTCTTTCTGCGTTTCATTGATGGTAACAAATCTCAAAGTTGCCAGCGATTGAATTATACTCTTTTGGTACTGTAATGTTAACATACATATTTTTTCTATATCAGATTAGAAGCATAGATGTAACTATACAACTAAATATCTCATAGATGCTTGATAAATTTGTAAACGAAATTAGTTAGACTCGGGATGAGACGAGACAACGACGGAGGGACACAAGTGACGTAAGGATCGAGGGGAATAGAAGAGCAGAGCATCTTCTTCCCTCAGGACTTTGGTATACTCTTGTAAATTACTCTATACGTTGGTAGTCGTTCGAGTTCTCTCTTTCGAATAAAACAGATCAAGTTATTAAAAATAGTGGGATAGTCAAGAACTGGCAAAGCTCAACTGTACTCGACCACCAATCGTTTACTAAAAAGAAAAACACGCCACATAAGTCGCACCTAGTTCTTAAATTGTAATCTATTCTATCACAAATTATGCAAAAATTTGATTAAATTTGAAGTTTCCGTATATGATTAAAAGTCATTTATAAGTGTGTGAATTAAATTGGTAATTATTGGACTTCTAACTCATTAGAGATTTAATCATTTTTACACAAGTATCTCAGAAAAAATTATATTTAGTACAATGAAATAGGTGAGAGCAGTCTCACGTAAAAAGATTATGGAATACTCGATTGGATGATTTGTGAAGATTCAGTGGTAGAATATGCTTGCTTAGGATTTATAAGTATTTTTACTAATTCTGAAACACATATGCACAAAATCCTGGTTCCAACATTAGTGAAAGATNATGTGTTCTCACAGTAGAATGTGATGAATTTCCATTCTATACTTGGAATCAGAAAACGATTGATTCTTTCTATAAATTTTGTTTGGAAAGACAAATTCTACCTGAAGTTAATCGATCAAATGACAAATTAAAACTTTTAGGACCAAAAGAAGAAGTCAAGGAAGTACAAATAGAATTTTATCGATTGAAAAGTGTTAAAGCTGAAGAAGCACGCATTGCATCTTATGCTCGAGTTGCCGTCTGGTTATTCGAAATAGAAAATAATACTTTTGAAAAATATTCATTGAAATTAAATGCATTGTTTGAAACGGCACTCGAGCATAACAACGAAGTGGTTTGTATTTACTAGTCAATTACTCATCAACAATTCATACTCTATTCTATAGGTAAATTTTAGAAACGATAACAATGAAGAGTGTAAAATAAAATTGACAGAAAAAATTGAGGTATGCGGAAATCGGCAGCGTCGAGTTATTCGAAGAGATTTTCAGATACCACGTAATTGGACGACTCAGTCTGATAATGTTCTACGTTGTGTATTAGATTCGAAAGACGAAGAATATATAAAAGTAATAGAGCAATTCAATCAGAAGATGTCGGGAAAATACATCGAAATTCAAATAGAACGCATTCAAAATCAAAGATGGTACATGGCCTATAGAGCTTTCCGACATTTTTCACAACAGAAAGACACTGAAAGATTACTCTTTCATGGGTGCCCAGAGTCGTCAGCCGATATGATTATCCATACTTGTTTTAATCGATCTTTTGCTGGTGTAAACGGCAAGTAAATCAAATTCCTTCTTTTATATATCTAAACTTGTTAGTTTGCAGGAGTTGTATATGGAGTTGGTGTATATTTTTCAACCGATGCTTCATACAGTCACGGGTACACCTCTGTGAGTCCAACGACTCATCGACGTTGTATGTTTTTGGCAAAAGTACTTGTTGGTAAAGCTGCACCAGGCAACAGCAAAATGAGAACTCCACCAGCTGGTTATGATTCGACAACAGATAACAATCATATCTTTGTGACTTATCATGATGATCAAGCATATGCTGCATATCTCATCACATACAAAAGTCCTGGTAATTGAATCCTACAATAGCGAAAATTCTTTTGTATTCATCAGAGAAAATTAATCCAGATAAATAGAATAAGTTCACGATTGAATTATTTATTGGAAATATTGCACAAAATTGTAAAAC